TATATATATATATATATTATATTATTTTATTTTATTTTTTTGATAAGTGTTTAAATTATATATTTTTATCTTTAATTTAGTACTTTTTTTTGGGAGAGATGTAATTAATTTTGGTTGTATTTGAATCCTTAAATAAATAAATTATGATTAATCTAAGAAGTTGCAAGAGTGTAGTTTTCTTTAACTAAAAATATCTCTCTTTGTATAGATTTTGATGAAGTTGGAAATCCAAAGCTATAGCTCCAAAGTCAGAGTTGTAGTCACAGAACCTGAGTCAAAAAGAAGTATTACAAAAAGTTGAAGCTTTAGTCATGAAGCTAGTGCTCCCACCTTGGGAAACAGAGCATTCTGGACAATCCAGACATCCAAAGCTACGGGCTCTAGAGTTTTCTTCATCCTTAAGTACTTTTTGGAGCCGCAACCACGGATCCAGAGCTACAGCCTTGGGTTAAAAATCTCAACTTCCTCCTATTTTGGAAATAAAAACATATATACATAAAGGGTTATAGAGAGAGAAAAGGGAGACATATACATATAGAGAGAAAGAAACTCTAGGAGAGAGAGCGTGAAAATTAGATTTGAAGATTGGATTGTTTGAGAATGAGGACTCGTCTTCATTTCTTCTTCTATTTTGTAATTTCTTCCATGAGCAACTAGTTTCTCTTAGATTGGATTCATTGTAACAACTAACTCTGTTTCTTCTTAGATCTATATGATATTCAATTTCATACTTGTGTTTGATTCTTCTTTTAATGCTTAATTTAGTTTGATCACCTGTTTTATGATTTTTGGTTTTTGAACTCTATTGGGAAATGTTTTCGAAAACTTGAACTAAATCACACACCTAACAATCTCTTGTTCTAGGAATAGACTTGATTTTGTTACCCACTTTTGTTCAAGTTGTTATTCTTAATTCAAGGTATTAATATTAAATCATAGAGGAATCATGTTTAGCATTTATCACCTTAAGACTCAATTTTGAGTGATCTGATTGAGTTGTTTAATGAACTTGAAAGTAATTGAATTGAATTGAAAATTAAAGGGTTAGAAAGTATATTTGAATCCAATCTCTTTCTCATACAAATTTTTCTATTAGTTTTGCACTAGTGCTTTTATTTGCTCTATTATAAATTTAAAATAATATTTCAACCATGTCTCCACAAACAAGATAGGAAATTACTAGTATCACTAAATTCTTATAGACGATATTAAATTATTATAATGAAATTGGTCCGTTTGTCAAGAGTGAATATATATATATATATATATATATATTAAAATTTAAAAATACATTATAGTTAAACTTAAGATTTACATGATATCTTGAAAGTTACTTAATATTTTTTTAATTTTAGAAACTAATATTACAATCATTGCTCAAGGCTTAAGCAGTGAAACTTAGAAATTCCTCTTTTCCTGCAAAATAGAGAGAAAAATTGATATTATCATTCTACCTTCTCTTATCTTAATATTCATTCTTAATTTATCAATAAATTAATGGGGGCAAAAATATATATATATATATAATTAACAAAGGGCAATAACATAATTTTCAAATTTTATTCTTTCATTAACTTTAAAATCTTGTCCGATCAATATTTTTGCTGTTATTTACATTATGTACAAAGTAATAAAATACATTATAATTTATACAATTACTTCAATTATATTATAACTGTACAGAAATAGCATTAAGATAGAAAATATTTGAATTTAATGTGTACATTTTTTATAATCATAATCATAACAATTTGAATTTGAATGTCCATAATTTGTGGGTTACTAGCAAAAACCAATAAAACTTATTTGTGCGTTTTAATAGTGTAATTAAATTTATTAAATACTAATAAATATGTTTTATAATTTATAAAAATATTTAAATTTAACATATATAATGAAATAATTGTACTCATAAAAGAGCAAGAAAAAACTTTAATCGGACATATATTTGCTATAAAATCCATTCCTTCATTATTTGCTTATTATAGTTTGATGTAATTGGGCATATATTTAATTTTTATCAAAATAAATAGATAAATGAATTCATTTTAAACTAAATTAATCATATTTAATTTTTTTTTTTTAAAGTTTGATTTGTGATTCAATTATTTTCTTTGTTTATAGTTCCAAATATCTAGACACGGAAGGCCATATTTTGATTTCTTTCTTCCATATGAATCGATCATGAAAGGGAGAACATATGGCCCATTAATGTAGCGTGGAAATAATACATATGAATTCTAATTAGTTTTGCAAAAGCAAATAAATGATGTATAAGGAGGGTGTGTTGGACTGAAATTTTGAAAAAATATTTTTGTATAATTTTTTTTTATAAATTTTAAAATATTTTGAAGGAATGTTATAACTTTTAAGATTTTTTCTAAAGAGACTTTTAAAACATAGATTTTTATGAAAATTTTATAATTTAGATTTTAATAGATTTTGATGGATATATATCATAATATTTTAAAGAATATTATGGATTTTACAAACATGGATTTGTAAAACACAATTAATGTTACCAGAATTAATAAAAATAATATAATATTAATAATAAATAAAAGTAAAATTAATACAATTTTTTTTATCTCTTGATAATTAACTATCTTTATCTTTTGACAAACAATTAACTTTAATGTTCTCTTAACTAATATTTCTCCACATATTAAAAATTATATTAGTCTTTTATACATTGATATATTATCTTTCATATTCTTGAGTTTGAATAATATATTCAAAATTATGGTCTTCATTTAGCATTGAAGATGAAGATTTTTTGAATGAATATTCAATTAAAAATTTATTAGAACCACATTCTTTGCCAATAAAGTTATGTAATGTTACATATGTTAATACAAGTTCAACTTGTGTCTTAAATAAAAATGGAGATATTGACTTAAAAATTGTGAAACATGATTATTCTCTTGATCAAATTTCTTAAGGATACATAGTGTAAATTGAATACTTTATTTTCATTTTCAGAGTTATTATCATGATTTAAAAAATCTTAGAGATATTATTGCACACATCATAATGGAGCTAAAAATTGACGTCTATTAGAAAATCCATAGTTCGCTAGAAAATATTTAGCTAATTACATATACAACACATAAAATTAGCATGAAAAGTTAATAAATATATATATATATATATATATATATATATA